CAACCATTAGAGAGTAAGAGACCTGAGAAGTAGAAAGGCGAGGCTCTCCACCCTTCAATTAATCCCACATGTGTTTATCGTCCAGGTTGGCACAATAAACCTAACTATTTCAGTGGCACACACAGTTTGTGCTCAGGAAGAAAGTTCTGCTGATCTGCTTCTCTAAGATCACAGCCCTTGAAAACTCTGAGGCGCACAGTTCTCCTCTGACATACATAAGGCAGAACCGACACGCAAAAGCCCCAAGGTCATGGGCTCTTTACCTTGGCAGCATTCTGTCAGAAACGAGTCGACAGAGGAGAAGAGAGTAAGCAGCCCGACCCAGACAACCTTTAGCATCTACCCTACTGAAATGACTTAGGTCTGTCCCAGATGTCATAGATGATATCCAGACCCCCTACCTTTGCTTTAACGAGTATTATCCTAAAGAGATTTCCTGTTGTACCTGGTACAGCCGGCGCGAGGCTGAGCGAGGAGAACAACGGCCCTCACAGACTCCAAAGGACTAGCTTTGCACATCTCTCATTCACAGAGAGCAACATCTCAGCCGTTATAGCAAAACCTGCCTCACCACTAACCACTCTGACAGCTCTGTGCTGATATCACACTGCACACTGGCGTGCCCCACTCGGGCACCCGTCCCCAAACTGGCAACCCAAATTTTCAAAAGCTGGTATGAGGCACTAAAACTTTTTTTGAGAGTGTATTTCTAAGACCCATGATCACTCTCGGCAATCATTAGCTTAGAGTTTACTCCTCAGTCACTAGGCAGATTTATTTATTTTCCATGTGAAGCCAAATTGAGGAAAGATTTTTTTGTTTTGTTTGGTTTTAAACAATCTGAACTTATATCCTGCTTTGAATTCATGCGATAGGACTTAAACAAAACTAAATCCTTTACCCACCCTCCTCACTGTAAAAAGACTATTTATTTTTTCTGCAAATGAACCACATTTTAGGGTAAAACATGCCTTTCTGTGTATATGTAACCTTTTCTTTCCCCCTTGGACAAACTCCCCAAAGTGCAATATGGGACCAAATGACTGATACTGCCTTTACCAGAAAGAGCGCTCCCTCCCACCAAGTAGAAATGAGGAGAGCTGGGGTGTAGGCCCAATCTGGCCACTGACTAGCCCTGTGCCCTGAGGACTGCTGTCCATTTTTCAGTGCTGGTTCCTCTTCAGTGAACTGGCGGCAGGGGGTTGGCGTGTAAGAGGAGTTGATCTAAATCCACCCCCACCCCAACTCTAAAATGCTACGACTATCAAAACATAAGTAAACAATAGCAAGACTTTGGTCTTAAAAAAAAAGTCTAATATTGACCCAAAACATGGCTCATGAGACATCTTCTGAGTAACTCGCTCTTCAAAGGAACCCCTCTCGCTCCCCTCTCCAGCATCCCCTACTGAAATGAGGGTGTTTGCATGGTTTCTCTCACTAATCCCCTGAGCATGGTAACATCTCCACCTGCTGGAGTTCCAGGGTTTTGCTCCTAAAGGTATGCATGTCGGAGGTGTTGGTAAAGGCTCCCTGTTATCGCTGTTAGGGGCCCTCCAGTTGACTCGGAGGCATGTGTGCGAAGTGGAACTGATCCGTGGACTTTTTGAGGCTTGTCTTCAGAGCTCCCCGAAGTGAGTTCGAACTGCCAACCTCCCAGCCAATAGCCAGGTGTTTGTGCCACCTGGGGACTCTGAAGGACTCCACAAGCCAAGAGCAAACCAAACAACAAACACCACAAAGCAACACCATTGCCATCATGCGATGCTGACACAGAGCGAGGGTGGAGGGCTGGTAGAACTGCCGCAGAGGGTTTCCAAGGCTGTCAATCTTTACAGAAACCGACGGCCAGAGTTTCCCCCCATAGAGAAGTTGGAGCAGCTAAACCTGAAGCCCTTCTGTAAGCAGCCCTCTGGGTTTCTAAAGCCTCTGTGGCCACAGGCCAAAGCAGGGTTTCCAGAAACCAGCCTGGCTCACAACTCCTCCTTCGCAGGATACACTGTGGGAGCAGGGTAAACCTCTGGTGTTGGGGACTCTTTCTTCCCACCCATTTCATTCTGCCCCATGCCCCTGCCCTGGGGAATGACTAAGAACCCCCCAGAAGTGGGCACTCAGTACTGGTCAGAATTTCCACCCGTCTCTGAAAGTTGATCCTTAGCTTCCTCCTCAGAGCCTGGTTCTCAGGGATATAGTTAACGCTTCTGGACTGGAGGTCCTTGGAAACAGCCAGGAGGCTGAAGACAGCTTGGTGCGGGCTGGGTCGGAAGCAGGTGAGGGTGTGGAGGCCGTGGGAAGGGATCTGCCCAGACGCCAGCACTGACTCCTTCGATGGTGCCTCTCCAGCCTGGAATATTGGTGGGAAAATCATCCAAGAGTTTTCAGGCACCCAGGAGAAGCAGCCTAACCCTATTCTCTAAGACCAGGGGCCGAAACGCTCATTCCAGAATGAGAGAAGTCAGAGGTCTGACCGAGGCTCTGCCATTGCCGAAGGACTTGGGACAGTCTGTGTGCCTTGCTGGGTCTCTGAAGGCGAGGAGATAGACTGGGGGTGGGGGTGTCCACGGGTCCGTTAGTTTATCATTGCTGTATCTATCCCAAGTTCCTCCTCACGTTGCATACAGCCCCCCTGTCAATGGAGCTGTCTTTGCTGAGCTAGCTTCTCCTCCAGTTCCATCACACACGGAGAGCACTTTTTGGGTGTCTTGTCCAGGGAAAGGAAGGAAAAACAGAGCGCTTTGTGCAAGAGCTGTTGTCTGAGCTCTGGGCTCCAGGAAGGGTGTAACCTCTTCGTGGCAGAAAAGAAAGCCGTCAGTCCCCAAGGACTGGCTCTCCAGAGTTGATGTCAGTCTCTTGGTGCACAGTCAAGAGGCTCTACGGGCCAAGAGGATTAGGCACCCTCTCCCCACCCCATCCCTGGAGCAGCCCCCCACGACTGTGCCCCAAACTGCTGAAGTCCCCGGCTCAGCCCAACGGGTCCAATTAACAGCCATACAAGCATCCCTCCCACTCAGCAGACTCCACCACCTTCCTCCAGGTTCTGCCCCTCTCACGCTTCTCTCCCCAAGACCCAGGGCCAAAGAATTCCTACAAGAACCCCTCTGGCATGTGGGCAGTGTTTCTGATCTCCTTTCAAAGGTCAGCTTTCCACAGTTCCTCCCCTCCTCCTCACCCCCTTCAGGATTTATTTACTTCACAGTGCTCGCTAAATGTCACGATCCTTCTTAGCTACCTTGGCAGCCTTCGGTCAGAAACCGGTCAACAAACAGAGTAGGAGAAAGCCAGCAGCATTGCCAAGGCAACCTTTAGCCCCCAGCTCACGATCGATGCGACTCAGGTCCGCCACAGCGGTCCCAAACATGATCCAGACCCCACGCCTTTGCCCTCACAAGTCTTTATTTCTGGTTCCCATCAGAGTCCACCAGATCTCCTCCTCTGGCTGGGAAATTCCCAGTTCAGCCCTTGGCCGCTCTTGAAAGCGACTCTAGATAATGCTAGAACAACTGTGAGGAACAGGAAGTGCCTTGTGGATTGTACTGCGGAAGGTGAGGTGGGAATGAGGAGCTGAGGCCCAGCCAAGGCACCTCCCTGCTTCCCCTCATGTGATTCCATCGCTTGAGCGTTCACCCAGAGCGGTCACGTCCATGTTCTCTCATTGGATCTCTAAGGAAGGGAAGAGCTGAAGTCATAGGAGATGAGCTGAACAGTCATGGCTGGAGGCTGGGACCTTGGAAAAGGGCTCTTTCCAGGAGGAGGCTCTGCTGATTCAGGGTAGAAGTCCGTGAGAAGGGGGAGAGCAAGCCCTTTCATTGCCCTGGACTGTGGGCAAGAAGCAACCAGGTCTCGCTCATCTCCTTTGGCCTTTCCCTCCTGCCTCCAGCACCCCCACTCTCACTCTGCTGCTCAGCCTTCCCCTCCCTGGACCGGCAGCAACTGGGAGGCAAGCCCCCTTTAAAGGGACTGCTGAAACCAAGGAAGCCCTCCCCACCCCGCCCCTTAGGAAACCACAAACCCAGGTCTCACGTGTGAATCTGCAGTGTGTTTTGTCTCTCACTTTCCAAGCGCAACCTAGAATTGGGGTCCTCTTCCTCCAGGCTGGTTCTGCAGCACCGAGTAGAGCCCAGGTGCCCCAGACGAGGACAAGCTGCTTGTGCCGGCACACACTGGCAGTGTCTTAGCTTCAACCAAGTACTGCACACTGGGAAGTTCTGGCAAGTTGGCTAGGAGGATCAACTCGTCCTTCTCTGGAAATCTCTCCAAGAGTCTACACATGGATTTTTTTGGGGAAAAGTAAATCCTGAAGAGGAGAAATCCTACAAGTAACCCCCTTCCCCCCTGGTGTTAACTAGCTATGCAGGCTTCCCTTGTACAACATTCTTAGAAAGGCCTCTTGTCAGAAAGATGCCCCTTCTTAGACTTGGCCATCTGCCAGCGTGAGCTTGCTGGCCTCACTTCTTGATTCGTGGTGGAGGAGAAAAACAGAGTAATACAACCGCTTACCACGGGCTTCTCCATTCCCCTTGGTCTCTGCCCTTGTCCCCACCAAAGGACCCACTGAAGGAATGCATTTTAATCAGCTGAGGAGCTGACTTTCGGCAAGCATCCCGAGGTGTTAGAAAGTGGAGCGGACCTGGGCATGACACGGAAGAGGAGTCGTGACACTTACTGGGCACTCACTCCAAGCCCCGGTGCCGCCGTGAGTGTGCTAGGAGGGCGAGGCATCCATGGATCATGACCACACTCTGCAGTTGGGACTCTTACTATCATCACCTCTCCGGTTACCAGTACAGAGGCACCGAGAGCACAGGGCTAGCTAGCGAGGCAGCTGTCAGCCCCCAGGCCCACCTCCACAACCTCTCGCCTTCCACCACCTGTGGAAACTTCCCCCGCAGCAGAGGGACCTGGAGGTAGATCAGGAGGCTCCTATGACACCTGGGCCCTCTGGAGCCTAATCTTGTGGGGCTGCTTGGGCCACCAGGGCTGACACGGTATTCAGGGATGCTTACTGGTATCTCCTGCTCTGTCTCCTCTGTCTCCTTTCTCTCCTTTCGGGCCTCGGTCACCTGGGATAGAGGAGAACTGGTGTTAAAGATGGAAACATTAAAAAAAAAAAAAAAATGAGGAGCCGATCGATACCAAGGGCTCAAGTAGAAAGAAAATGTTTTGAAAAGGATGATGGCAACATGTGTACAAGTGTGTTTGGCACAGTGGGTGGATGGATTGTCATAAGAGCGATAAGAGCCCCCAATAAAACGGTTAAAAAAGAGAAACAAGAAGATGGAAACAGGCCAATATTAATGCTGTAGCTGCCTTCATAGACCCGCCCATCCCAACTTCCCTAGACAGAAAACGTACGAAGAGAAGAACCAACAAAGGACTGGGCAACGGTGACCAAACCGGAAAGAGGAAAACCTCAATGGAAAAGAAAGCAGAAACTATTACAAACAACACAGAACAAAAAATCAATAAATTCAACATGGGTCAAAAGGGAGAGAGATCGGATGACAAGGTGTTACATTCCAGCCTAAGGAGAGCGGCTGGCATCCACTCCACAGTGCTCTTTGTCTGAGGTTAGGGCTGTGCACGTTCCTAGACCACGGTCAGTCGGGATTCACCGGAGGCTCCGTCTGGAGGGACGCTGCCCATGGAGGTGAGGATGGGGAGAGGGGAGGTAAGTCAACATGATGGGTCAAGCAGGAAGAAAATATGCCCAGGTTGATTGTGATGATGAATGCACAACCCTTCTTAATGTGATTGGACTACTGAATTGTATGATGTTATTTATATCTCAAAAAAACTACTAAAAAAAAAGATGGAAACAAAGCCCATTTGTGAATCAACTGTTATCTGCTGGCCCAGGCTAAGGGACACACATGCCAAGCCAGAAGCTCCTTGAAGACAGAGCCTGGCAGGGCAGGGCAGATAAAAAGCATCCAATGACTTAGCAGGTTCTGGTCACCTAGGGAAGAGGAGGGGGTACTGGTGAGAAAGTTTAATTCCACCTAATGAATAAATTAGTTTAAGCAGTAAAGGGCAGCACCTACCAGCAGAGACGAAAAGAATGTGGCCATTGGAAGAAGGAAGACGTAAAGATCTTCCTATAAAATAATCACACTTTTAGAAGTCTACATCTAAGTACAGTGAGAGAGGGTGGGGAGTGGGGGTGGCAGGCTCCAGTGTTATAGGGAGGAAGACAGTTTATATACATGTCAGCAGATCTTCCTGTAGTAGAGCCTATAAAACACGAGGGGGGCTTTCCCGGAGAATTGTGGCATTTCCTTCTCAGGAGATAGTTAAAAGAACAGAGGCTTTTGGGGGGCTCTGACACCACCACTCGATGGGCATTAAAACAGAGTTCTATTCTAAGGACTTCCAGAAAGATGGCTGCAAACTGCATACTCTGTGGGGAAAAGAGAGAGGGAGCATGCTTCCCTGCAGAAGGCCGCGTGTAATTTGAGTTGTTTAAAAAAAAAAACACACAAGGGCAGCTATATATACATAATATATGCATATATGTATGTGCTTAGGAAAAGGTCTGGCAGGGTACACTCCAGAATGTTTATAGTGGTTGTTCCAGGCAGGAAGCACAAAGGGAGTAAGGGGAGGGAACGCTCCTTTTTTCTTTTCTTTTCTTGAAAGACTTCTTTAGTATTTAATTTTCATTTAACAACTATGTATTGGTTTTAAAATCTGTTTTGGGGGGGATGAGGAGCTGATGCCAGGGGCTTACATGGAGAGCGAATGTTTTGAGAATGATGAGGGTAACGAATGTACAAATGTGCTCTATACAACTGATGTGTGTATGGATTGTGATAAGAGTTGCATGAGCTCCCAATAAAATGATTTCTAAAAATCTGTTTTAAAAACCTTTTTTTAAAAAAAAGTGCTTCATGAAGGAGAAAGCTCAGCCTGTTTAGTCGCCAACCAGAAAATAGAATATCCTGTCCTGGTGATCCAAGATCAAGAGACCATCTAGACTCAGGCCACCATACAGCAGCAGGTCAATGTGGGGGAGCTTCTCGCACATGAGGCCTGGAGGCCTGGGCATTTGTGAAAGGAACAGGAACAGAGAAGTTCTGAAAGTTAGGTTCTCCGAAAAGGCAGGAAGAAGAAGGTAAAAATGAGACGAAACATCGTTGGCCATGTAAACCTGAGGACTGACGCTCCAAGTATCTGGGAGAGGAAAGAAAACCGCAGAAGAATCTCGAAGGGGGTAGCAGGTATTGCAGCGAAGGCGGTTCTCCTGGCTTTCCCATATTCCCAGCAACCAATAGTGATGCTCCCTTGAAGTTTGGTAGAAACCACAAGGCTTTCTAAAACAGTCTCATACACGAGGGCTTCAGAAAGTCAGGGGGGAAATTCCATTATCTTCTCATTCCATATTCTCAGCAGTGTTTTGAAGCTCTCTCAGCTATATGCCTCGTTTCATCCTGATCGCAAGGAGCCCTGATGGTATAAATGGCTAAGTGCTCCACTGCTGGTGCAAACGAGTTCCACCCAGCACCTTTTCTGCATGAGAGACCTGGCGCGCGGTGCCCGAAACGATGACAGCCAAGGGAGCCAGATGGGGCAGTGCCACTAGGTCACACGAGATCACTCCACGTCAGAATGAGCCTGATGGATGGCACCCAGCAACAACAATCCTCATCAGGGCCCTGTTATGTCTGAAACTGATGTGTTAGGGAGTATGAAGATTTTTAGTTCTCAGATGAAGACGTGGCTGCTTAAAGAGATGCAGAGACTTGCCTAAGGTTACTCATCTTGGTCAGTGGCAGGGCCGGCCCGAGAAGCTCAGCCGTGTGTGCCAATGCCCAGGAGTTTCCCAGGGGCTACCAGGGTGTGAGGCTGGGGGCGTGTGCAGACTCGTTATTGTTACCTTTGAACCCACGCATGCCCATGGGTCCTGTGGCCCCCAGTTTCCCATCATCGCCCTTTGCGCCAGGCAGTCCTGGAGTCCCTCTCTCCCCTGGCAGACCTGAGGAGACAAGAGACCAACGGTGGAAAGGTGAGCTCAGCCTTAGAGCCATTGTCAGGTTCAAGGATCTACCCAGTGCCTCCGATCATCTCGGCTTCCTGGTTCTTCTGCCAGCTAAGTGAAAGACGCTGTCAAAGCAGTATCAAGAGCAGGCAGCTCAGACCCTCCTCCTGAGCACCGATCACCCAGGGAGGGTCAAGCCCCTTCTCCCTGAAAGAGCTAATGTTGTCTTGAGTGACAGCTGTGGTGCTCATCCTCCTTGGGAGCTGTCCCCTCACCCCCAGCTATGCTGGAAATTTGGATTCGGCAATTTTTTTTAGCACCTTCTATGTGCCAAACATTTTTCGGGATGCCTTCCAAAAAATGATCATATTTCATTTTCACAACAGACTTTGAGGTCAATATTATTTCATCTGGGTTTCAGATGAGAAAACTGAGGCCCAAGAAAGGTTAAAAAGGTGACCTAAAGCCACACAGTAATGAGTGTTAGAAACAGGATCTGAGGCCAGGTCTTCCTGAAGCAAAAGCTCATGGTCAATTGTCTTCATCATGCTGGATGGGAAGGGCTGACTGGTGCTTGCAGGTGGAGGGAGGTGGGAGGCTGGTAATCACTAGGAGGAATATATAAATGGCCTCAATTCACCTTAAAAAATAACCAATAAAGCCCATCAAATTCATTATCTGATAAACACAAGCAGAGGGGAGTGGAGGGCAGAGGGAGTGAGTAAGGTCAGTAGATGGATGGGTGGCCTGCTGCCTGACCAGCCCCTGGGCCCCAGGCCATGAGTCTGGTGGCCACAGGCCCACAGTTCACTCCGGAAAGCCAGAATCAACAAACGTTTTCAGTGAGCGTGAGCCCCGGGCTCCCAAGGGGACTGACCTAAGTCCATATTTATCTCTGTAAGGCAGAACACCCTTAACTGATGGACTAATTGTTCTTTCCCGCTTTGAATGCTAGTTGGTTTTCTTTGGCCTTTTTCTGAGACGTGGAGAAAACTTGTTTCTCAGTAGTCATCCCTCCCCAGATAAACTCAAATGGCTGGGGGAGAACAAAATGGACTCAGGGGGTAGAGGGACGTCAGAGAAGCCCTGAGAGAATCTTCCTCCTAGCATAGATCTATCTGTTCCGGAGTCCAAAGGTTCTGCCTCCACAGCCTTCTGAATCCAGGGCTGGAGATCCCTGCTGCCCCCAGCGGCTCCCATTCCTGGCATCTCACATACCTCGAAGTCCAGGTAATCCAGAGAGTCCAGGCTTGCCTTCCTTCCCTTCATCCCCCTGATCACCTTTGGGTCCTGGTGGTCCTGAAAAGGTTACAAAGAGCAACAAGGTCAAAAGGCTGTTTTATTAACTCCTGACACCTGCGAAGGAAATAAAATCCTCCTCGTTTGAGAGGGGAAGGGTCTGCATTGCACTTTGGAAGTCTATGAGACACCAGTCTTGGGAGATCAGGGAGGACTTCCTGGAAGAAGTGAGATTCAAAAGGAAGGTCAAGGATAACCAGAAGGTAGCCAAGCAAAGAAGCCTTGATGGCACAATACGGAAGGGTTTGGCTGCTAACTTCAAGGTTGGCTGTTCGAACCCACCCAGCTGCTCTGTGGGAGGAAGACCCGGCAGACTTCTTCAGTCGAGATGACAGCAAAACAAAAACAGCAATAGCAACAACGAGCCTTACAGGGCTGTCCTGCTCCATCACGTGCAGTTGCTATGAATCAGAATCAAGGGCCCCCAACAACAACAGTCAGAGGGAACACATCCCTGCGAGGGCTGAACGGTGAGAAAGACCCATGTAAGCTACAAAGCTGGGGGCGGGGGGTGGGTGGGGGGCATTCACTGGGGTTAGAAAGTAGAGAGTCTTAAAGGCCAGGTGAAGTGCTGGATTTGACCTTGAGGGCAGCAGAAGGCCTGAAGGGCCTGAGAGAAGAGCTTGGTCAGAGCTGCAAAAAGACCCCTCTGGGTAGGGTGTGGACCGGGCCAGAGAAGCAGAAAGACCAATGAGGAGGCGACAACAGGAGAGAGACTTTGGAACTCAGAATCTGGGAAGCGGTTGGACCAGAGACAGGCAAGTGGCACCTTCTAAAGCTGCCTAGGAAGGAGACGAGTGCCAGAACAAGGCTAGCTATTGGTGGAGGCTGCAATAGAGTCCAGATTTCTGGCTTGACTACCTGGATGGGGGGCTGAGTTTCTAATTCCTCGTGAGCTGGGCTTTGAGGCTCTGAAAGGCATGTTAGCAGACACGATTTGATGTAATCCCTACAGTGATGACACTACTTTGAAGTGTGGTCCCAGACCTGTCTGGTCCCAGCTCCACTCGGCCACACCCACTGAACTAGACAGCTCACACTTCCCAGAACACACTGTACTTTCCTGTCACCATACCACTGTGCCTGCTGTGCCTATGCTGGTGCTCCCGGGAGTCTGCCCCCCACCCCTAGGCACCTGCTCATGGCCACCTTCTTCACGGTAAAACCTTCTCTGACCAGGGATTCCTGCTGAAAGAGAGCACCACCTGAACACACATGCTGCATGCCATTGGACCCCCGTCTCACGTGGCCTCCCTCTCCTAGGGGGCTGGGAGCTCTCTTCACCAAACCACCAGCTCCCTCCCGCAAGGACTCCAAGCCCCCCGACTGTTAAGGGAAATGTTGGAGGTCTACGTAGATGTTCCTTGGAAGAAAGGCCTGGCGATCTACCTCTCGAAAAATCAGACACTGCAGACCCTCCGTAGCACTATGTGCCTCCTGGCACATAGATGGGGTCACCGCCGGAGTTCACTCAACAGCAGCAGCCTGTTTTTCTTTTCATCGGCTCCAAGCTCTCAAGTCTCCATTCTGCTTGTCAAGCTGCTTTGTGAACGGGGCAGGGGTGGGGTGGGGGTGGGGGGAGTATCCAGCAAAATGTCAAAACGGTATAGTCACAGCATAGCAGTAGTGTCTTTCACAATAACTATTTGATGAATGAACAACTATGAGATCAGAGGGTGTTCATACATACAAAACAACCAGGCAGCCAAGACCGAGATGTACCGATACATTCCAAAAGTTGGCACTGTCCTTGGACCCTAACTGAAGCTGACAGCTGTTTAATATTTCCATGGCACATGCACAGGGGAAAGTAATGAACCACTTAAAACTCCAGAAATTACATAAATCACTTAAGGAGGACTAATGTGGTAGCCATCACCCTCTCCTCTGTAAAGAAAAGCCAAGGAGGCCAGACCATGTTTACTCCAGGTCCTCAATGATAGCAGTGAGGTTCAGGACCAGCTTGGAGCATGCCAAAGATTACCCAAGAAAGGCAAGGCATCGTTATCAAATGAGTGTCACCAGTGTGACCGCAACAACATCAACCCAGTGCTACCGAGTAGCCGCCGGCTACTCATGGCCACCCTATGTAGGGTTACTGAGATGGAGAGCCTCCTCTTCCTCCTAATGAGCTGAGGGGCTGGCAGGTCCGAACTGCCCATCTTGCGGTTCACAGTCCCACGCTTACTGGAAAGCACCACCAGGGTTCCTTCGCAAGGTCAAGCCTATAGAAAACGGAGCCAAGAGAAGGGTCTGCATCCATGCCCTCGGTAGAGCTCTGTGGCCAGGTGCAATTCCCCGTCGGTACACCCTGCCGGCTTCTCACTCTACACTCACCCTCTTTAGCCCTCTCCATAGGCCACCCAGGACCCCAGGGATGGAACTGGTCACAGGTGCAGAGGATCTTCGAGTGGCGCTGCTGTGGGTGTGGTGCCGTGTCTAGATCTTTCGGAAAATAATTCTCATAAAGGGCACTGTTACCAGAGCTAGAACAGACAACCTGGGTGTCTTGGGCTTGAATGTGGATGTGGGGCATCTTGATTCCATGTCTGTTTTTGTAAAAGAGAGGTAAAAATTCCTCTCTCATCCGGTGGTACCACTTAAAAAGCCCCTGAGTTAATTCCTACTTACAGCTACCCTATCCACAGGGATACCAAGCCTGTAAGCCTTCACAGGAGCAGAGAAGAACCTCATTTTTCTCCCATAGAACAGCTGGTGGATTTGAACCGCCGATCTTGTGGTTAGCAGTCTAATGCTTACCCAACAGTACCTCCGGGGCTCCTTTCATGCAGTGGTATTGAAGAGTAGGTAGATTAAATGACATATTGAATCCAGGGGGAAAAAAAGGCTTTATAAACCTTTGAATGGTAAGGCCATCCTTGACCCATGTCTACCTCATTTTTTATAATGTTTCATCCGAAATACCATATGATTACTACTGGTGATTATTCTAAAGTAGTGGTCTATATTATCTGGCAAACCCAGCACTAACATTCATGAGTCAAGTCCATTGTATCTGGGGAAAAACACCACACTCATTGCAATCTAGTCAGTGCTGACTCAGAGCGACCCCCTGTGGGTTTCTGAAACTGTAACTATTTACGGGAGTAGAAAGCCCAGCCTTTCTCCCGAGGAGCTGCTGGTGGTTTTGAACTGCCAACCATGTGGGTCACAGCCTAATGTGTCACCACTACACGACCAAGACTCCTGTTTTCTGGGGAAAGGCAGAAGTTAAAAAAAAAAAAAAGCCTACACAGTGATAGAATTTTGAACACACAGTAAATGGGTTGTGGAGGTCTTTGCAAGTCCATTCTAAGCCCCCCTCCCTTCAACCTTGATGTCCATCTCATGTCTCCCTTTGATCTCTTTGGGCACCACCAGCGTGGCCTCCAAATCTCAGCTAGCTCTGGAAAGAGATCATTGTGCCCCACGCTACTCACCAGGTGCTCACACCTCCTCCAACTGTGATTCCCAAGGAGGACAGGCCTGTGTGCAGGGCTAGAGCCTGCCTCTGTGACTTTGTTTTGCCCACGGCCCTTGGCATCCAGTAAGGACTCAAAGAAGGAATTGGGGGCCATCATACAAGTGGGTATGGTATCACTTCCTCCCACTGAGACCCAGTTGAGCTTTGTAGCGTCTCAACTTCTTACATTGTCACATTTCTCCTCTTTCCCATCATGAGCAGGCGAGAGAGGGCTGAAACAAGGAGGAATGAGACCTACTTCCTAAAGGTGGGCTATTTCTCATCAACAGGAGAAACAGCTTGAAAGACCTCCCCCCCCACTGCGCCCCCCCCACTACCTCCTGTCCACGGTGACAGATTCTCCTGCCTGGTTTGCTCTCTAAGAGGTCCTAGGGGCCAGTCGGAGTTCGGAGAGAGGCATTCTGGCCCTGCGCCCATATCCCCCTCACAGCCCCACCAAAGCCCAGCCAGGAGCCTTGCCCCTGCCTTCCTGGTTCCCCAGAGCAGGCCAGCCCTGGCCCAGGGGGCCAGGGAGATGCTCTGGCTGGAAGCAACTTCAGCACAGCACTAAAGATATGTGACTGAGCATTTGGGAGAAACACCAGAGTTTTTCTGGAGTCCAGCCAACAGGGAGGGAAAAGCCATGCTCTGGCCTATTCCCAGGATCCTGGAACAAGTGATAGGGTGGAGGAATCTGCGTGCACTGGAATCGGGGGAGGGACCTGCCAAGAACAAATGAGGACAGCTGATGAGCCAGGCCTGAAGCCAGCCCATCAGTGACCCAAATCTTAACATAAACACCACCCTCAGCGCCATGTTAATCCCAGAGAATGAGGCCCTCAAGAGTTTGCTCCAAGAAGACTCTTAATGTCCTTGAACTCCCCATATGGATTACTTCTGCAGCTTTGAGAGCGCCCTCTCATTCACCATGCAATGCAAGCCCCCCACAGGCCTGAAAATAAGGATGGGGTAAGCGTCATCGGTCCCATTTCACAGCTGAGAAGACTGAGACCCCCAAAGTGACCACCCTGGCCATAGTCTCCTTCCTCCAGGGCCAGCATGCTTTTCTGTGAGCCTCGAGGGACAAGACGAAGGTGGGCAGAACCGCGGTGCTACTGTTACGCTTTACGGCACAAACTCTACTCCCCCACTCCACGCCCCCAGTTGACAGTCATGGGTGGACAATGAAATCACAGAGCAAGACACAAACCACCAGGCCTCCTCAGCCTAATCGATGCTTTTCAGTCCTTAAAGACTTGCTACCACTAGGTCGATTCTGATTCACAGAAATCCTGGAGGGCAGAGTAGGTCTGCTCTACCCCCACCCCACAGAGTTCCCAAGGCTATACAGGCTCTCGAGCAGGTCGCTCCTTTTCTCTCACCGTGGAGCAGCTGGTGGGCTTGTACCACCAACGGTCAGATCAGCAGCCAAGCTCTTAACTGCTGTGCCACTGGGGCGCCTTCTCGACCCTTAATGCAGGAGAAAGACTTCTTCACACGCCCTCCATTCACGGGGGTGCCCATGAATGCTACCAGA